GAGGGAGGGAGGGAGGGAGGGACTGAGGGAAGGAGCGAGGGAGGGAGAGGGAGGGGGGAATGTGTAGCATAAGGATAGTGACCTGCAGAGGCAAAAACTTGACACCATGACGTAAAAAGAACTGACCATAAAGGAAGACTGACTTGTGCTTGTGCATTAACATTTCAGAGATAGAAATTTTGTTTCTGACCGCTCCTCCATCGGAAGCCTGTCTAGTGCGAACGCGGCAGGCCGAATCCAGCAGCTTCATTTGTCAGAAGACCTCAGCCCTCGTGAAATACAAGAAAACACCTTCTCTCTTCAAGCCGGTATTTATGCCATGTATTGTATTGTAATATGATTGCCATATTTTATTATTTGATATAGCATATTTTGTTATCTTGTATCACTATATTGTATTGTTATAAAATTATGATTATAGAGTTATACATGGCTTATAAGATTATAAACCTGTACAGTTAAATCAGGTGGATGCCAGAAGCATCTTGGTAATGGTGTTGGATTGCTAGGTTAATGATACAAAAACTTTCCTCATCCTTCTGTGCTCCTAACTTAATGAGGAACAAATGGAAAAGTTAGAAATAAAGAGACTATTAGGTTTATTACTGGTAAAGCTGGATTTGGGAATGCAGCTTGCTCTGTGGCCTGAATCATGCTACCTATAATTTTCTAGATCTTGCGAAACTCTCCTCCAAGGAGATGACAGAGGTAGATCCTGTTCTGTGTGGGATTTTCACACCAAAGCCAGTGCAGCCACGCATGCGTAGAGATATTTCTTGGAAGATGCAGGAGCACCTGGCCTTCGGGACAAGCGGGGCTCCAGGGCAGGCTCAGAGCTGCTGGCCCTGCAGGCATCCTGCCACAGCCTGCAGGATGGGAGGAGAAGGGGAGAGTGTGTGCCCGAAGTGAGCTAGGGAGACCCTGAGAGGGGAAGGGGACGTGGGGCAGAGGGAGGTAGGAGCAGAGGCGGGGCAGGAGAAGGCAGGCTTTCTCTGTGCCCCCTACTTTTCTACTTCCTTCTGGAAAATGGGCAAGATGTTTTCTCATAGACATATGGAGACAGAAAACTAAGATCTCACCTTTCATTTATCTTTTCTGCTCTCTCTGAAAGACTTCTGTCTGAATCATGGGCTCAGACTGGGTTTTCATGTGTGAAACTTCTCCCAGAAATCTAATCCAGTTGGATCTCAAAGTTGCTATTATTATTATTATTATTATTATTATTATTATTATTATTCTGTGTCTCCAAAGAGTGGATCAAGTCAAAGGCGATGAACATCAGAAGAGTGGTTGCCTACTTATGGGATTACAAGATGGTTAACGCGTAGGGAGGTGAAAAAGTTGGGCTAGGAACAGCCTGTGTCCTCCTCTGGGTAGGGGTGGCTTCTGGGTGTGTAGATATGTAATACCATCAAGCTCACACTTAAGGAGGGCTTGCACGCTTATTTTATACTTAAATGCAAGAAGGAAAACAAGTGAAAATTAAAAGCGTAAGAGTTTTTACGACGCTCGCTTAGAGAGCCCTGGGGCTCTGGGCGCTGTTCTCGACCTCTCCATGCGTTAGTTTTGCTCTTGTAAAATGGAGACGAGATATTAGCACTCTGTGGTTGTCGTGGGAAAGAAATAAGGGCTTAGGTAAAGTCTCTGGCAGGGTGCTGGATCAGTGTCAAGGACCTGGCACCCTGTGGCATCCTTTGCGCTGGTGGCAACCTGAGAGGACAAAGTTCTCAGAGCACAATGTCACAGTGGCTGCAAAGAGGCAGGAAGGGTATGTTATGGGAGTTGGGATTTAATGTCCAGCCCGCTGAAACTGGACTCCTGGCCCTTTCTACTTATGAGTTATGTCTGAGCCTATTTAACCTCTTTCATCCTGCGTTCTTATCAGCAGGGCTGGTAGCCAGCCATAGTACATTCCTGATTATAAGAATTAATTCTGATAACAAATTTAAAGCCCTCATGAATTTATCTAGCACTGTTGATATATTTATTGGGTATCTGCTAGGTGCCCGGCACAGGTTGACCACTGAGAAGTACATGAACCAGACAAATACAAACCCTGCCTTCTTGTATACAGTAGGTGCTCAATATCAGGTATTTCACCATGCATGTGAAATACTGGAGGAGTGAACTAGAGGCCATGAAAAGCCAGCTTCCCCCGTCCCAGAGCTGTGCCGTTTTCTTGAGGAGTGACTGTGGCAGTAGCGTTCCCTGTAGAGGCAGGCGCTGGCCAGCCCCGAGGTGAGCGTGGGGGCTGGCTGTGTTCACAGTGCTGACTGACGCCCGCTGGGCTTGCTGCTCTCTTTCCAGCCTGCTGTGCTGCCCTCACGGAGCTGGTGCTCAATGACGCCAACGCCCACCAGGTGGTCCAGGTGAGCAGCCCAGGTCCGGGTGGGGCCGTCTCCTCCTGTTGTGATCAACCAGCCTTCAGTTGCGGTTCGCGCCGTAGAACGCAGGTTCTGGGATGTTCTCATGGGGCTTTTCAACATTTTAACATTTCTTACATAACTTACAGAGCTCTAACTTGTATTCATGTCCTTCCTTCTTTAGCTCACTTGTGACTTGTGGTTCATCTACGTGGATGTTTGTTTCTTGCATTGTGTGCAGTCCTCTTCAGTTTTTCTCTTTATCTCTTTTTGTTGTTGTTATTCTGAATTGGTTTAATTCTGGGCACAGAGAATAACTATGAATTGAGGAGAAGTCACTTTAAGAATATGTGATGTTATTCAGTTAGCAATGGATAGAGACACACTAAACAAAAACATTTATTGCCAAGAAACTGATTTCACAAGTATAGCTCTTTGATTATAGAAGAAATAAAGGAGAGCGAGAAAGAAAACATCATAGCAAGAACAGCTTTGAGATAAAGACTCACGAGGGGTGGAGGGCTCCTAAATGCCAAGGCAGCTGTTCTCTTGCAGAATAAGGAGTTTGTGAGGGCCACCTGGGGTAGCAGAGAATGAGGAAGCCGGGAACTTAACTCTTGTGGAAGCATGTGTCTTAGTCCAGTCATTGGTCCTTTTCCTGTTTGCACAAGGCTCATTACTCTTCAGGAGCTGAAAGCTTCCTTGTCAGGAATGGTCTGTTGTGTAAACAAGACTTAGGCCAGGCTAGTGAAGTAGGAATAGTGGTATTATTACAAGACTAAGAGAATGAGGGGAGGGTCAGAACTCATGGGAAGATGTCCTTAAGACTTTTCATTGCATATTAGGCTACTATGTATATAGTTACATGTATACACATATAGATATAAACAAATAAGTAAACACACATACAAGCCTATGTATCTATGTGCACAACCCTGATATGATTTTTTATTACAAAAGTTATCTCCTACATATCAAACTGTACATAGAACACTTTTTTAGTGGGAGTCAATACAGTATTTCCTTCAGATTATGCAAATGTATTAAAGTTTGTAAGGGCTCAGATTGCCAAGGAAAGGTGGCAGAGGGGAGGCATTAGGGTTGGCTAGACTGGCCTTCAACTCCTGACATCCTTACCTGCTAGCTGGGCTTCTGAAAAAATGCTGTAACCTCTCCAAGTTGTGGTTTTATCATGTACACAACAGTAAAATTATCAAATAATTCACAGAGACACTAAAAATTAAATGCACTAAGGCAAGTCAGTTTCTTTGCTCTGTTAATCTAAGTGCCCACGCATAGTTGAGATCAGTAAATTTTATATTTAACAGATAATAGAGAGGTAGCTATAAGTTAACACTTTTATTCATTCCTCCATGTATATCTTTGTTATGAGACAAATCTAGAAAGATGTTAACTGTAGTTTTACAGATAAATTTTATTTTATTTTATTTTATTTATTTTTGTGGAATGGGGATTGAACTCAGACCCTTGCACTTGCTAGGGAAGTGCTTATTCCACTGAGCCATCTCCCCGGCCCCTTCATAAGATGTTTCCTGTAAATTTTATTTATTTATTGGTGGAACCGGGGATTGAACTCAGACCCTTATGCTTGCCAGGGAAGCACTTATTCCACTGAACCATCTCCCCGGGCCCTTTATTTTCTTTTTAACCTGTTATAGTTTTGTTGACTTCTTTTAAAAAATTTACTTACAATGCTTGATCACGATACTTTAATAATAAATACTATAGTAAGGGAAATTGTCTCTCATTGTTAGGTCTTTGAAATTCAAAATGTAAAGATATTTGGATCCTTTATTCTATCCTTTTTTAGTCCCTTACTCTTTGCTTCTAAAATAGAAACGTTAAATTTAAATTTCAATATTTTATTAATTATAACTTGGTTCTTTTCAAACAGTTGAAGATTGAAGGCAGTGTTTCTGGTCTTTATCAAATACAACACTGCATTATTTTTTTAGTGTTTCCTGTAAGATTTACTTAAAGTTCCACAATTGCAGAATTTTTTTTTTTTTCTGCAATTGTTAGTTGCTTCATTATGTTTGGGCATCTCCATGGTGTCATCTCTGGATACTGATAAGTTTATTTTTTTATTCCTTTAATCTTTCAGGAAAACGGTGTATATACAATAGCAAAATTAATTTTACCAAATAAACAAAAGAATGCAGCAAAAACCCATCTACTACAGGTAATAAGCATGTCTCTTATCCTTCAGTATCAAGTTATCGAAGCTTTGATACGTAAGTACTCTTACGGAAAATAACCTGTGATAGCATCTTTAAGACTAATGTTGGTCTTCATGCTGGTGGTAAGGGACAAATACCTGGTGACAGAGGCCAGTGTGGAAACCAGTGATAGTAGGATGCTATTAGAGGCGTAATAGTGGTTTCTCTGTGTGGTAGAAAGAAGTGTATTTATTTAGGTGTTTCCTTGCTCACCAGCAAGTTCTAGTTTTACTTTTCATTGTATCTAATTTTTTTGTGTTGCTGGCAGTTGAACCTAGGTCCTCACACATGCAAGGCAAGCGCTCCACCATTGAGCTACATAAAACGAGCCCATCAAAAATGTTGAGCCCCTCAAAAATGTTGAATCAGGGTCTCACTCAGTTGCCCAAAATGACCTCACCTTTGTGGTCCTCCTGCCTCAGCCTCTCAAGTAGCTGGGATTATAGGCATGTGACACCATGCCTGGATATACTGTTCTTTTTTAAAATATGCATTTCTCAAATATGAGAGTATAGCAACAGAGGAAAATTATTTGTCATCTTTAAATTTTTTTTTTTTTGAAAAGGAAAGCCTGTGAAATGGATCTTGAGGGATAAGAATGGACTTGCTCAGGGAATGAGGAGATACCAGGTGTGGGTGCTAGTAGCCTGCACTGCAGCATGGAAGGGCAGGGCAGGAAAAGGGGACGGCAGGGGCTCCTGAAGGGCTTGGGGGACAGAGTGCCCCAGGAGACATGGCCTCTGAGGGTATATTTATGTTTTTTTTTTTTTTTTGCAGAACTGGGGATTGAACTCAGGCCCTTGCACTTGCCAGGGAAGCGCTTATTCCACTGAGCCATCTCCCTGGCCCCCTGAGGGTACATTTATGTAGAGTCCTGTGTTTTGTGAACTGTGGCATCTCCAAAAACACTCTGATGGCAAAATCATATTCAAAACAAGCCTTTGCAGTAGTTTTGGGTCATTTTCAACTCATTTAGAAAAGAAAGTACAGACAACCTTAATGACAGATGTTTGAAAAGATGGCTCTGTGTAACTTGATTTCAACAATAACGTGGGACGTTGTATATACAGACATCACACAGTACCCCAAATATGTATCATTTTAATGCCTGTGTATCAGTTAAAAAGCAAAAAATATTGTTTTAGAAGAGCTCATATCTATCTCATCCACAATGATGGCCAAACCTGGCAGAGACATTGATTAGTGTTTGTACGGGAGCAGGCAAGGTTGCTGAAATACTACCAAGGACGGAGAATGTAAGGCTTGATTTCTCTTGTCTGCCACACAGATGTGTCCATCCTGCATATGTGTTCTGTTCAGCAGAGGTTTCTGAAAATTCCAGTAGGAGTTTTCAGAGGCTGGGTGTGGTGACCGCCCGCCCCCAGCCCCAATGCCTACTGTTGAGGAGTAGAGGCCAGGCTGGGCCTCTACTGTAGAGGATGCTGTAGAAAGATGCTGTCCCACAACAAAAGCATTGACGATGAAGCTCTGCAGGCCTGGGGTTCAATCTCCAATACTGTGAAAAAAAAAAAAAATCCCATTGATCTAAGTTGTGCACAGTGCACAGGTCCACTTCCTCACCATCCACACTGTCCCCTCCTGTATGTCACCATTCTGCCCTCTGCCGGACACACAGCTCTCTCTGAGTTGTTTTGTGTGTGTCCTGCTATTTAGATGGCCCATCTGCAGAATGGGCCAGGTGAGAGGGGGCAGGTCCCAGTCTTGCCAGTGGTGCACTTGCAAGCTGGGGGCTCTTTTTTCTGAGCCTTGTAAAATATCAGCTGTTTATTTTTCTTAGTGAAAGCCTCCCAGGTCTCTTTCTGAGTGTTCTAGGGAGTTACTGTCGATTGTTCTATTTGGGGAACGCTTCAGACTCTTTACTCAAGAGGCCAATTTGTCAGGCTTGAGTCCACTGTGCCTGTGGCTATTTTTATATGTCATCATTTCTAATGTTTATTTTCTCACGGAAACCATATAAATACTGAGGTATACATAGCAGGGTAGAAACATCATAAAACTCAAGCTCTGGAACTCTTTGGCTATTTGGTTTTCCCAGCATAGGAGTTTTGCTTCTTGTCTCTGTTCCCATTTCATACTTTCTAGAAGGGATTTAATGGCAAGTACTGAGAAAACAAGGCCGGGCTCCCCAGCCTTCCCCATCACCATTCTGATTATAAGACCTGCCCCAGGTGTGGGTGGTTTTGTTTTCCATTACGTATAAGCCTGGGCTCCATGTTAGGCCAGCCCCTCAGAATGAAGAAACTTGAATGTCTATTTCCCGAGAATTCTGTCCAGAGAATGTGTTGATTTGTTGGGCCACCCTTGAAGAGTCACATTTCCTTTTATTTCCTAGTGTTACGCTTTCCGAGCCCTGAGGTTTCTCTTCAGTATGGAAAGAAACAGACCGCTCTTTAAAAGGTATGCACTTAGGAGCTGGGAGAAAAGCAAAGGACCACCCGGTTTAAGAGAGCAATGGGCTGGACAATGTTCTCGCCAACAGGAGAACGGTCAGCGCGCCAGCTGTGTGTGTTCAGGTTCCAGGCACAGATCTAAGTGAGCTCCTTTGGCAGGACTGAAAATGAACAACAGTGACGGTGAAAGAGCACCAGGAGTACAACTCCTCTTGGCTGCCTGCGACTATCACGGTTTTAGTACATTTTCCTTAAAGCCATGCACATCCTAAATGGATGGCATCAAAAACATGGACTGTACTCATTTTTTTGTCCACTTAGAAATTCCAAGGTTATCTTGCCAGTTTCTCTTATCAACAGAAACGCAAAATACTTGTCAGGATTCCCCAAGAAGCTTGGAGCTTGTTTGAAGGCGTGGGGGCCCGCCCAGGGTTAGAAAGTTGTGCTGGGGAACGTGACTAGGGTGCCATCATGCTGCCAGGTACCTACCGTGGCACGTGCGTGTGCCCTGCCCGGTTGTCTGGACGAGCCAAGAGCACAAGCTCCAACTCCCTAGAAGCTTTTGGCGGGCAAGTCTGGAGGTAGCGTGGCATCGTTTGCTCCGACAGCACGGCACATTTTATATTGCGTATCTATTTCCTTGTAATATTTGAATTTAGGGAAAAAGGAAGAATAACCAATAGTTTCCGGGTTCTAAATGAATGTGTATTTTTCTCTGTAGACTTTTCCCCACGGACTTGTTTGAAATCTTCATCGACATAGGACATTATGTTCGTGATATCAGCGCTTATGAGGAATTGGTATCAAAGTTGAATTTGTTAGTGGTGAGTCCCACATTGAAATATTTAGGCAGGCTGCTAGCGGGCCAGGGTAGAGTCAGTCCCGGCAGCTCATTTTATTTTTATTTGTTCATTAGGAGGATGAACTGAAACAAATTGCTGAAAATATCGAAAGCATTAATCAGAACAAGGCTCCTTCGAAATATATAGGCGACTATGCAATTCTGGATCATCTGGGGAGTGGAGCTTTCGGCTGCGTGTACAAGGTGCTCTTGCCTTTGGGGAGCGGCGATCCAGAGATCCTCAAATGAGGCGGCAGTCACACTTTCACACTCACATTCAAGTTCACTAATGCAGTTCCTGTGATGGAATAAAGACATTAAAAATTAGAATGTTAGGGCCAGCCAAGTAGCTCAGCAGAGCTGGGGGTTCTATCCCTGAGCCTGCTGGGCTGGCCCCAGCCCAGGGGCGCGCTGAGATGGCAATTGAGACTGGGCATGGTGGCGCACACCTGTAATCCCAGCTCTTGGGAGGCAGTAAACAGGCAGATCACTATGAGTCCAATCTAGTAGTGAGACCCTGAATACCCTGTTGACCCTTCCCTAAAATACAAACAACAATAACAACAAATTAGAATGTTTTATACAACAGGCAGAGATAGCTACATTAATATCTTAGCTATCAGCTCTAGCAATTGGGTAGTGATATTTTAAGAGAAAAGACATCATTTCTCAGAAAAATAGTCTAAACAGCATGAACTGGTAGGTGATACATTCTCTAAACTTGTGCCAGTGGTGCTGTATTTACATAGTGAAAGCCTACTCCTTATGGCAGACTGCACAGAAGATACTAATTTTCTAAGCTGAGGTTAAAGTAAATCCACTTGCATTCCACTGAGTCTTTTTGTTTTTCTTCCTTATTTTTAGGTTAGAAAACGTAGTGGTCAGAATCTTCTAGCAATGAAAGAAGTTAATTTGCATAACCCAGTATTTGGAAAGGATAAAAAAGATCGAGACAGCAGCGTGAAGAATATTGTTTCTGAGTTAACAATAATTAAAGAGCAGGTAAATGCTTTTCTTGTTTCTGAAGATATTTTATTGAATAACTGTTGTTGACACAGAGCTCTTGTGCTAGTCTTATCCATGCTATGCATGGGCTGGCTCTGTGGGAAACACTGCACACCGAGGTGTAGTGTTTTCACCTGCTTTTTCCCTCTTGTTTGAGGTTGAACCATAGAAATCCTTTGTGGAATTTATATTGAGAGCATGGAAACAAAAACAGTTGGGCTTTGGGCACTGGCTGTAGCACCCATGAGCAGTCTTCTCTTCCCTCGGAGTGGAGTGCAGCCCTTTCTGCTCCTGATGAGTATTCATTACCTAGTTACCTACCTAGGAGCATGGCTACAAGTTCCCTGACTTTCACCAAGTGGAACCAAGCTGCTGATATTTTTCAGTGGTGGTTTATTCAGTCAAACACTGAGTTTTCAAGATGGGTTAATATTTACTGTCATGAAAGAATATACTGACATAGCTCAATGAGCCATCCTGCTGGAGGTTTATTTGGGAAGGAAGAAGGAACACATCAGAAGCAGAAGGGGATTTTTTTGAGACCCCAGAATGCATTGGCTTCTTTTGCAGCCTTTCTTACTTGTGCGTTTATTCCCAGCACTGTTGCTGTAACTCCCAGGGAGGGTGGTCAGCCCCTCTGTTCTGTGTTCTCTGTTATTCTGTTAGTCACATGCACGTGGTATCTATGCATGACAGAAAGAGTACCATAAATATGCAGATTAGTCATCGAGGTCTATAGTTCTACTTCAACTTGTGAAGCACAGTGATTGTGTCGTCAATAGCTTGCTGTACAGTTAAGTTTTATATACTAATGCAGTAGGTTAGATGCTTTTTCAGTACTGGAATTGAACCCAAGGCCTCTGCAGAGCTGCAAGCCCAATCCTTTTATTTTTTAGTTTGAGATAAGATTTCACTAATTCACCAAGGTTGGCTTGAACTCGACATGCCTATCAGATTGCTGGAATTACACAAATGCACCACTGCTCCTGGCCAAGTTAGGTTTTTTGTTTTTTTTTTTAAGAGCTAGTGTTTGCTCATATTTAGGATAAACCAGCATTTTCAAGGAGTTGTTTCATTATAGCACAAGGTAGTACATGGGTTTTGACCTTTGCTGCTCCATTGTTTTCATTTGGATCCAAATCTAGATCTAACTCTTGGCAATGAGCTAGGCCCAGAATATGGTTCTGGTTGTGGCTGTTTGCTAGGCAACGAGGTAGATCATGTGTTTTACCATATTTCCTCAGAAGAGAAAGTGTCCAGGAGGGACTATTTGGAAGGCTTTATTTTATTTTTTAAAAACAAGTTCTTAATATTTTGAAATAATTTTGTGTTTACAAGGAAGTTATAGAGCTGATACAGAGAACAACTATATATTCTACACATTTCCCATAATATAATTTTTATATAACCATAATGCATTTGTGAAGCTAAGAATTAACATTGGTACATTATTTTTAGCGGTGCTCTAGCCTGTATTTGATTTTATCAATTTTCCATTAATGTCTTTTTTCTGTATCAATCCATGGTACCACAATGCATTTAAGCAATGGAGATTTCTGAAAGAAAAAAAATCATGTATTTTTTTTTTTCTCTAAGGTTATTTTGATAGGTAAATAATGACCAAAAAAGAAATTACTTTTGAAAGAAACTAATACTATGAAGAGAGTATTTCTAAAGTAAATATTTGGAAGTGTTTCCAACGTATTGTGACTTTAGACTTTGCGGCCACTCAGAACTGCACACAGTTGGTCTCACTAGAAGGTCAGCAGGTGCAAAGGGTAGACCTTCTGGGCCCTCAAAGCAGGAGGTATCGGGAGAAAGAAGCAGCGGAAGTGAGGACAGCACAGTTGTGAGGATAAGCCTAACACGGGGCCAAGAAGACAAGGCCAGAAGCGAAGGCGCACAGTGCATTAGCTATCTCCACTTCATGTGATGGTGCCAAAGGGCACTCAGCAAGCAGGTGGTGTTCTCGGCTCCGCCCAGCCATCTGGGGGCTCTGCCCCTCCCAGTCGTCGCCTGTGTCTGCGAAGCTGCCACAGACACGTCCACGTGCATGGTAGGGAGAAGAAAAGCCCAAGAGCCACTGCTGGCATTGGGGGCTCCACGTCAAGAACCCAAGCGCTTCCCTCAGACTCAGCATGTGACAGGCCCACGCCCACAGCAGGCAGGACCAGGACGGGTGCCCTCTGCCCTGGAAGCCATGTCCTGACAGCTCCATTGCTAGAGATGAGGGGGGTGGCTAGCAGCCTGCCCCTCAAAGCATCATGCAGAAGGACCAGGAAGGGACACAAGCCATTTATAAAAGCAATGGCCATTTTTCTGCGGTAAGACAAAATTCAGTTTGATTAGAAACTCAAGTGATAAATAGCTGCAAGAATGTTAGTATTCTTGTAGAAAATGATGTCCTTTCACTTAAAAAGAAAAGCAGAACTTCCATCACATCCTTCAGCAAAGTCACAGCAAAGGGAAACTGCATCACGTACTTTTAAAAAATGACAAAGAAAACTCTAGCTACCACTGTGAGAGGTCAGAGGATGGCAGGAGAGAGCTGGACTCTGGTGATAAGCTCCACAAGGAATGAGGAGTTTATAGGGAGGCAGTAGAGGCAGGGGGCGCCAGTGGTTGGCAAGTTACTGAAAGGGACTTAGGTATCGGGAGCGAGATGTGAGATTCCTGATAAATGGCCTTGCAGGGTTCTTGCTGAAATCCTGCAGGCCAAGCACGAGGGCTCCTGGGGAAGGACAGTCAGAGGGCTCCGGGTGAGTGTGGCCAGGGGAAATCTTGTCAATGAGTACTATGATTCTGTCTCACTTAGCTTTTAGATGATTTCAGTTTCATATGAACCGTTGTGTAGAACATTGGCATATTGTAGACACAAACTATACATATATAGATAGATGTGGAAAGAGGTAAGAAAAAGCAATGGGTATCTATAGAAATGTATACTGACACAAATGGCTTCATTGTGTTGTTTTTTTTTTCCTTTATGCTGTCTTTATGGTATTAGAACGCACTAAGTGAATTTTTAGGTTCTATTTAGTTCTATAATTCTGTTTCACTTTTGTAGTGAAGCGGTTTTTAATTTTGTTTCATCAAACCATATAGGTGATTGGTACTTTCAGCTGAATTTTGTAAGCAACAGATTTTTAAAAAACTTATAAAAATCTCAGATGCTATGTTGAAATGCTCAGTTTTTTAAATATAATAATCTATGAAATGAAAGTCTATGAAATGACTTTGTACTTTGGAGCAGATAATGTTTGTGCTTTATTTTTTGTAGCTTTATCATCCTAACATCGTCCGCTATTACAAAACATTTCTGGAAAGTGAGTATGACTTCTTTGTGGTGGGATTTCTAATTAAATGGAAGTGTCTCGGAACTTACATATTTTCACATTAGAATGTCACAAACTCAACTCAACTCAACTCTTTTCTTTGATTTTTGTTATTAACATAATAATAGATGTTTAAAAGTATCTTTTTTTTTTTTTTTTTGTGGGGGGTACCGGGGATTGAACTCAGGACCTTGTGCTTACCAGGCAAGCTCTTATTCTACTGAGCTATCTCCCCAGCCCCAACATCATTTTCTTGACCAATCAAATCATGACACAATTACCTGAAGATAGTTGTGGATGACTTAGATACCTGTAGGGAAGGCACTTCATCATCAAATCAAAATAATTGTTCTTGTTATTTGTAATATATCAAAAATCACTTAATAGTTTCAGGAGATAAAAATGAAGGGTAATAGTTTCTTTATGAAAAATTAAAGCAGTGTGTATTGAATCAGACATTTTCCCACTCCCAAAGTAAATTGATTTCTTTTGCTTGAAGTTCACATGAACGCCACCAGGTGGCGATAGAGCCTTGGTTTCTTTCTGCCCACTGGCAGGCTCTCAAATAGGATGGAATATTGAGTCCAACATGAGGACAATCTCCACACCACTAATCTATATGTATATTACAAAACAAACAAAACAAAAGAAAAACAACAAACAAACAACAAGTAAATCCAGGACTGTTGATGGAAATAATATATCAATGAAACTTAGTAATCAAACGTATATGAAATTTCAAAGTAAATGTCCATTCGAAAAAAGATTTGAATGATAATAGGCAATACTTATTGGAAATTACTAATTGCTTCTTTATCAGAGCCACTGTCATTTATGGAAACATTTATGTGCTCTGGAGTTTGTTACTGTCCTACACATCTTCCCTTCTGCATATGACTCAGAAGAGCTCACTGCGGAAATTCCTGCAGTGAATCCTCTCCCCTTAGGTCAGACAGGCGCAATAAAAGTGAATGGAAGGTCAGAAACATTTTAAAAAGTAATGCTAGAGATAAGCTTAAAAATACACCAAATATTTCTCAGAATAATGAAGCATTTGAAACAATATAATATCTCTGTACAGAAGAATGATTAAATTGTTATTTATCCTTCTTGTACACTAACATACAGCCAGCATTCAGAATGATGTGCTTCTGTGTAGAGCAAAATATGGCTGTAATGGAAGCAGACGCACGTGGCAGAACACAGAATCCCACTTTTATTATTGTTGTGTATGTATACATTTTGTATATACCCCAAAGCATAAAAGGCACTTCATACACCTAATTGTCAGCAGACTCATTCTGGTTCTACTGGAGAAAGTGGAATTCACTTTTTTTCTTGGCATCCAAAGTGGAGACACAAAGCACAAAGAGTTAATGAGATTCTCGGTGTCTGTAAGATCAAACCAAGAGAAGACCTGCTGTCTTTGTTCTCGAAGGAACAACAAAAATTATGGCTGGCACTTTCAGCTGTGTCTTAGCAAAGCCATGGCGTGATTTTGTACATGTTTCTGCAGAGTAAATCTATGAGACACCAAAAAATAAAAAAAAAAATTTTTTTTTGAATGTCTGATTTGGTCTAAGGGTACGTTTCAGGCTGTGCGTAGGAAAGGCATGTTTATGTGTTCTCTAGCTCCCATGACTCGGATCTGCTTGTTTCTTCTCCCTGGTACTTTCCAGCTGTCCCACGCACTGATGTGCATAGAAAATGAAAATAGCACCAGTGGGAGCGTATAGTAGGGCGTGGTCTGTAGCGTGGACAGATTGTTGCTGGGCTTCTGTTGCTCTGACACCTCCGCACCCCCACCCCATCCACTGCTACAGAGAGGCCCTTCTTTGTTGATCTGGAATTCGTCTACATTGGCATGCACTTGAGGTACACAATACCTACATTCATTCTAAGCAACTGGCATGTGTACACAGTGTATCCAGATCATGTGTGATATACTTTCTTTAGTGTTGTGCTCTGTACGCCCATTCAGAAGCTCAGCTTCTAATGTGTAAGCTTGTTTTCCAAGATTCTGCGTGTAATTTGAATTTCCTCCATCTATTTTACATTTTTTCTCTAGATGATAGGTTGTATATAGTCATGGAACTTATAGAAGGAGCACCGCTTGGAGAGCATTTCAGTTCTTTGAAGGAAAAACAGCACCATTTCACTGAGGAAAGACTGTGGAAAATATTTATACAGGTATATCTTTTCTTTCAAAAACTTTTCATAATATAGTAACGTTGTGACCTGGCTTCTTAGGAGTATATAGCGGTTATTGTTGGTGATATGCATATTGGGGGAAGTAAAATTGGTTTCTCATTCTTGTTTCAAGTTGTGCTTAGCTCTTCGATACTTACACAAGGAAAAGAGGATTGTGCATAGAGACCTGACACCAAACAACATTATGTTGGGGGACAAGGACAAAGTGACCATTAGTAAGTATAAAAATCTTAATTTTTTAAAGAATTCTTGAATATTATTCTAAAGTAGAATAGTATGTTGAGGAAAAAGGACAAAGAACAGTTACAAAGCAAGTACAGCAGTATTTAAGGACTTTCTGAGAATAATTCTAGAGTACATTGTTCTTCTAGCATAGTGGTATCCACTGGAGCTTTGGACATAGATGGAACATTTTTAATCCTGCTGTCCAATGTAGAGCCACTTGTCACAGCTACCTGTTGAGTACTTAGAGGGTCACTGTTGTGGTCGATGGAACAAATTTTGAATTTTATTCAATTTTAGTTACTTATCCATGTGTGAGTTGTGGCTACCATTTTGGTTAGTGACTATTATATTTCTAAATGACTGCATTGTATTTTCCTTTTAGGAGGAAATAAAGTACTTCGAGAGAATAAATCAGTGGTTTCTAGGTCTTTTTCTTTCTTTAGAGAATTACTTCTTCAACAAAAGCTTTTTATGACCGCCATGTGAACACGCTGATCTAAACCTTATCATCAGTCTGTCTTATGACCATATTGAAAGCTATAAAATATTTGGCCATTTGTATATTTCAATGTATATTTGTATCATAATATTTTTACTTATAACAAATAGGTCTAAGGTTGGATGCAATTTTATAAATTGGTAGGTTTATTTTTACCCTCATATTTGCCTAGTTGTCAGTCACAACTTAAAGTTAATTTTTAAGCTTAGAAGGATTTATTAACTTTCACCTGACTTTTCCACCTGTGAACATGAGTGTTACTCTCATGGACTATTGATAGCTCATGAAGTACAAGGAGGAAGACCCTGCCTAAGTCTGTGGTCGCCAAATAGTTCCCATGGTGACATCTATGCAGTAATTATTTTTTTTCTTTTGTGAGAACATATACCAATATATGTTGGCTCCTGTGCAAATTCTATACATATATTACTACACAAAGAGTCTGTGGTACACAGCAAAGTCTCTAGAAATAAAATATAAAAGAGTGAATTGAAAATAAAGATGAAGACGTTAATCTTCACCCCTTGCTGTGGATCGCCGAAGGCACTGTTTTTGGAGAACCCTATCCTCAGAGTTTATTGATGGGAGAGATACACGACGGCATCTAAAACTTGCTTCTCTACTTTTAGAAGAATCTAGTTTTTGTGAAGGTAAATGTCCAGTGTGTACATTTACTAGGACTGTATGTCTTCACGAACACCAAGACACAGTCTGAATTCTTTTCAGTTTTTTATGTGTGTTATTTTCCATTGGGACATTTTCTTTTATTTCCTGTTGCTTTCTGTCTACCATCCTGCGAACACAGTGTACAGATGTTGTTCTGGAATTTTCATGTGTCCCTTTTCTGATTGGAGTCTGTTTCTTATTTCCTATGTTTTTCTCCTTTTTTAAAAAAATCATTTTACTAAAGTGTATCTTACAATGCTTTCCTGAGAACAATTGCTTTGAGATTCATTTTTTTTGAGGCATTATACCATAAGTTTTTAAAAGAAAAGGAACAATAACAGCAATGATACAGAATTTCAAAGCAAGATAATAGGAAATTAACAATGGCTGATAGATTGCATAATGTTACCTTGAAAGTAGTTACTCGGATTAGAAGATATAGGCATGTAAGTTTGATCAAACATTATAAGCACAAACTGTTCTCTTTGATAAATTAAAATAATTTAGTAGTAGTAGCTTTTTTTTTTTTTTTTTGTACCAGGGATTGAATTTAGGACCTTACACTTGTCAGACAGGTACTTATGCCACTGAGTTATCTCCCTGGCCAA